TTATACCACAACCCGTGCGGCCGCATTTGTTTTTTGCCCCATCAAAACACGCTCGTCACTGTAAGGAGCATCCTCATGCTCCCCTGTGGACCCATTTCCGGACCCTGAAAATGTCGCGAAATGGACAAAACGATAATTCATAGGCCACAAGCCACATTTTATAAATGAGGCCCTGACATCCTCCGGTGAAATGGACTGGTATCCGGCCACGGCCAGTTTGATCTTGTATGCAGTATTTGCCCACGACAAATGGCTCATAGACAGAAGATGGTCTCGTGTTTCCTTAACTGTGCGCTGTAATGATCGATTGACGAATTGATCACAGTGTTGGAGAATATGCATTGTGTTTGCCGGAGCCATTTTGGCGTGCACTGTGCTCATAACAGCATTATCAACAGCAAATCCACGCCGCGTGGCATGAAGCGTTCTGTCGACTAAAAGGCGTTCCTCTTCTGCCGACAACACTGTTGTGCGGCCAGCATGATTGCCTTCTGGATCTAGCAATTTTTAGCTCGTCCGTCTCTCAGCTTTCGTACGCCTTTTTTTTATTCGCGTGGCTGTTGTGCGGGACACGCCTGTGTCTCGGGATGCTTTGCGTGCGCTTTCACCTCTTTGGATTAACGAAATAAGCTTGGCGCGGCGAGCACCCTCCTCTCTTCTTTTCGCGATTCTTTTCTTATGTGTGAGAGTTTGCGCTCCCATTGACGGTGGCATACTGCCACCGCCGAGCCGAACGTCGCTTACAGAGGAGGAGGGAGGGCTTCGCTGTCGGAGTGCGCGGTATGAGTTGGTGAGATGGACTGTGGGGATTTTGGGAAGGCGGGGAGGGCTAGAGGCTCGTGATTTGGCCCAAATTGACCCGTGGCCCAAATTAAGCCGGTGAGAAGGGTACAGTACAGTCATCTCTCGATTAGCGGAACCGGCACAGGAGAATGTGAGAATCGTCTCGTGCGCAACGTCGAGAAGGTCCTCCTGCTTGAAGGGACTGCAAATTTGTTAGCCTAGCTCGCGATGCTGGACAGTCTGTCCTTAGCGGCTATTCACCCGCCGTCGGTTAAGCTGACAGCGACGTACAGTAAAGAGGACCGATGGAGGAGGATCGGTCTTGCGGAGGTGAAGACGACATCACTACTACAGTACAGTAAAGTTTATTCTCTGAGAGAACCCCTCTGGTTCCACTTAAGGGGCTCCTTTAATACAGCATGTAAAAGCGGGGGTTCCGCTTATTAAAGTATATCATACCGATCTCTCTCAACCAATCATTTAAGACCATCATAGTTTTATTTAAAAAACTATCGATGGTAGTTTGCCGCATAGACTGCGTAGTACAGAGCAGAAAGAGAGAGCAGAAAACCCACTTCGTTTTCCTTCAAGACGGGTCGATCCGGCACTGCTGTGATCAGGCAGATGTGAAACTCGTGGAAAATTGAGATGGCCCCGAGTTTTCGGTACTGTATGCTGTGAGTTTTGCCAAACGCGTTTCTTGAAATTTTTGCGTTCAGAAAAATCCGAGCAAACTCGCTGCCAAAACACGCGTTTTCGTGACTTTACGGACAACCATACTGTTGTGCCCGGTCCCTTGGGCACCGTCAAATCAAGTTTTATTTGCTGGCTAGAGGCTGTTGGCGGGAATCCACCCGGTGCAAGCCTCCGCTCGTCGAGAATCCACTCGACTTCTCAGGAATCCACCTGATCTCGGCCTCTCCAATTCACTTGATGCCCCCCTCCCTTTTCTCGTCCCCCCTGCCGCCGCGGGTTCCTTTTATGCTACCTACTCTGCGCCCTCTCGCCACCTCAAGCGCTCGGAACGCTGTCTCCCCCACTCCGTCTCCCATCCCCCGCGACCCCCTGGCCCCACACATGACCCCCCTGCGCCCCTTTTCCACTTCGCACAGTCCCCGCCCTTTCTCTTCGCGTCCTCCCCGCGGCTCCGCTCCCTACTTCCAGGCGCAATTCCCCCGTTGGCCGGTGCTCGTCCGTGACCACGCTTATTTCCTTTCGCAGGCATTGCCGCCCTTTCCGAGAGCTTCCGACACGTGTACTGAAGCGCAACAATACTGTATTACTGTAACGGTACTGTACATGCCTGCACTTTGCGACATCAATGCCTGCATTGCTGGTCCTTGCTCGCCTGATCCCATAGAAAAGATGTTTTTTGAAAAATTTCTAACATACACACTGTTGATCTCGAGTCATTGAAAAGATTTGTTCTGCCAAAGATACAGCCCTGGTCCTCTTCTCTTTTTTCGACAGCATAAAGGAAAAGGCTTGCACCAACTTGGGAAGTCGTAGCATGAAATATTAGATTTCGTGACTTTACGGACAACCTTACTGTATTACTGTACTATACAGCCCTGATATTCTTCTCTTTTTACAACAGCACAAAGGAAAAGGCTTGCACCAACTTCCGCACAAACCGTCAAATATGCTTGTCCAGACGGCTATCCTGCAAATCTCAGATCAAGTCGTAGCATGAAATATTAGATTTCTTGTTTCTTTTCTGCACTCCTCAGCACCTTACCTCACAATTTCAGGGTCAACACGCGGCTTCTCTCTTCCGGTGGAATATGACGTAACCCAGGCGCACCTCTATAAAGGTTATATAACGCCCCGCCCTCCTCTTCATCTCTTTCAATCGCCCACTCATCTCACGCATCGTTTTTCCGTCACCTGCCGCATCACTGCTTGTCTCATTATTCATTTATCCAACCCACAAGCATGTTCGCCAAGATCTCCAATCTTACTGTTCGCGTGGTGTCCCTGCCATTCGAGCTCCTTACTGCCGCCATTGGCGCCCTACATCCAGTGGCGAGGCTCCTGCAGAGCGCTACATGGGAAGTGTTATCCTCGAAAATAACCCACGCTTTGTGCCTCGCCGCCCTCCTTACCTGGCTAATTTCATACTGGCTCCAGCGCCCCTCGTGTCAGTGCCAGTGCATACGCATTTCTGCATACGCTGCGAATGGCGTGAGTACTCCTGCTATCATCGGGTGTTTGTACTGCGACAAGTCTGGGGAACTTCGAGCACGCGCCGGGCAAGTTCTGTCCTCGCTACGCAGCGCGCGCAACAAAGACGGTGCCATAGCTACTGGCGGAACTGTTTTGGCAGTGCTTGGCGAATGCCTCACGGGGCCGCTTCTGGATGTATTCAGTGGCAGCTGGATTGGTGTGGCCTACAAAGCTCGCAGTTTTTATTCGATCAATACCGCTGTTAACATGCTCAAAGCCTTTGCCGCTACGGTGCTCACTGCACGCCAGCCAGTCAGAGGGTGTCAATGCGACAAGCGCGCTGCTGGCTCGACCGTGTCCGGGGTTTGTGACTTGTCTGGTGGCTCGGCAAATCAGAGCGATTCGAAGGGTAAGAAAAAGGTTGCCAAATTTGATAAGGGCGAGCTTGTTGACCATTTCCAAGGAGAGATATCTGAGGGCAGCACTATATGGGAGGCTTTTCAGGGTCTGTTCGAGCTTGCCCCACAGGCCTTCTCGTAAAAACCCTTGTCTCCCACTTCATCCGCCACACTGTCTGCTTTTTCGATTCGTTCATCCCACAATCCTCATAGAAATACCATGCCACAGTCCTAATGTTGGTGACAGCAATTGCTGATCATGAAAAATCTTCTCAACTGGTAGATATGGAACCGACTTCAGGGCTAAGCGACTAATTCTCATGCGGACATGAAGACCTACCATAAAACTGCAAGCTTTAGATAGAGCTACGCGGGGTAAAGAGATACATTTCAGAGAAGAACGGAGTACTCATATGGCTTGATCGACAAAAAGATGAAACATTTTCAATGATCTTCCTAGAGTGTTTCGACACGATTCTTGTCTATCAGCTGCAGCGTCTTTCATGCTTAAAATTTGTTTCTTTGCTGTAATCAGCATACCATAGAATGATGCCAGATGTGATTAAAAACAATGTGGACAAAGTGTGGAAGGCTGATATAAGTAAAAGGGCATTACGTGCCTACGCAACACATTTATAGTTCCCTACTGAGCATGCATGTAGAGCATGTGCAACAGCAGTCTTCTCAATGGATTCGGAACATAGTGGGACCGAATCCTTGTCCATGCAAGCACCTGGATTTCGTCGGAAAAGGGTTCACACTAATAGAATCGGTTTTCATATCATCTGCCGGGTAGAGATTTATGCCTAGATTTACTTCAGTCTGACCAAATACTCCGCGCTTTGTAATGTGAAGGCCCTGCACACATAACGAAGGATGCGAATATTACTATACTGTACCAGTGGCCCGAGTGCAGAATGTTGCGTCGAGAAGGGTACCCTTCGAAAGGTACATGTTGTTTCTGTTGTATTGTATGTAAAACCCGTTTCGTGCAGTGTTTACTACACTGTTGACAGTGTAGTAAACGTGGTGACATCACCAACCAACATGCACAAATGTTCGCACTGGATCCCCAATTCCACACGTGTAAAATTGATATATCCAATCATTGTAGTACACGGTGGCATGCTGGACAAGGCATGCTGGACACGTACGAGTTCTCCCCATCGTAGGACGTGCAGTACAGGAGTAAGTTTAGTCTTGTGCTCGACTGCTGGAGCAGGCAACGGAGACGAATCGGATAGGATCACTTTTTTGACTCTGTTGGCTCTGCGCCACACACCTGGTGCGGTTTCATTGGATGTATTAATGAACCCGGTCCCATTAGCGCTCCTCATTGGCTCTTTAGGAATGGATGGCCATCGTTCCCAAGCATTTCCTCCGAGATTCACATTCCCACCCCGTACAGGGGCACAACCCTTGATCTCCAACGCGCTCTCTCTAGCCGTCAACCACCACAAATGCCCGACTTCCCTTCGCATTCGCCATTCATACTGTTCTCCCGTTCCCAATCCAACCATCCCTTCGCCCCTCCTATAAACTCTACCTGCTCCAACACCAGGTTCCCCGCCGCTTCTCTCGCCCATCGGTTTTCCCACACCCCACTCCTGATCACTTCTCATTCCCCACATCCACACTAACCAACCCTTCACCATGGTCACCGGCTTCGTACCCTGCGCCGCTCCCCTGCGCGCCACCACCCGCCAGACGGCCGCCGTGTCCGTTGTCTCCCGCTCTGCCAGCACCTTCGTTGCCCCCTCGCGCCGCGTCACGGCCCCCGCCGCCCCCGCCGCCCCCGTCCCCACCGTCCGCATGGCCACTGCCGCCGCCACCACCAAGAAGTCCATTAAGGACCTCAACCCCGCGGACATCGCCGGCAAACGCGTCCTTGTCCGCTGCGATCTCAACGTCCCGCTCGATGGCAAGACCATCACCGACGACACACGCATCCGCGCATCTGTCCCCACCATCAAGTTCCTCATGGAAGCCGGCGCAAAGGTCCTCCTCTCCTCCCATCTCGGCCGCCCCAAGGATGGTCCGGAGGATAAGTTCTCCCTCAGCCCCGTCGCCGCCCGCCTTACCCAACTGCTGGGCAAGGACGTTACCATGGCTCCAGATTGCATTGGTGACGGAGTCACAAAAATCGTGTCCGGCATGGCTAACGGTGATGTCACTCTTCTCGAGAACGTTCGCTTCTACAAGGAGGAGACGAAGAACGACCCTGACTTTGCTAAGAAACTTGCTGCTAACGCTGATTTTTTCGTCAACGATGCTTTTGGTACCGCCCATCGCGCCCATGGCTCGACCGCCGGTGTTACGGCGCATCTTAAACCCTCTGTTGCCGGCTTACTTCTGGAGAAGGAGCTTGCATACCTCGCAGGCACTGTGTCGGACCCCGCGCGCCCGTTTGCTGCAATTGTTGGTGGTTCCAAGGTATCTTCCAAGATTGGCGTTATCGACTCGCTTCTCCAGAAGGTTGACAAGCTCATCATTGGAGGCGGTATGGTCTTCACCTTCCTCAAAGCAAAGGGCCTCAACGTTGGTTCTTCCCTTGTTGAGGATGATAAGCTCGAGCTTGCGAGGGAGCTTGTCAAAACGGCCGAAGCCAAGGGTGTCTCCATCATCCTTCCCACTGACGTCGTCCTCGCTGACAAGTTCGCCGCTGATGCCAACACTCAGGTGACCTCTGTTGACTCTATCCCCGATGGATGGATGGGTCTGGACCAAGGAGAAGACAGCACAAAGCTCATTCAGAATGAGCTTAAGGAGTGCAAGACCGTAATCTGGAACGGGCCGATGGGTGTGTTTGAGATGGAGAAGTTCGCGAAGGGTACGTTCGCCATTGCTGACACATTAGCCGATCTCACTGAATCCGGCTGCATTACCATCATCGGTGGTGGTGACTCTGTCGCAGCTGTCGAGAAGGCTGGTCTGGCTGAGAAGATGTCCCATATCTCTACTGGTGGTGGTGCCTCGCTCGAGCTTTTGGAAGGAAAGGTGCTTCCTGGCGTGGCTGCTTTGGATGACAATTAGATAGAAGTAATAAACTTTTCTAATCATTTTGCATTAAGACCTTGTTACCTCTTGACATCTATGTGAAGTATCCCGTCGAAACATATCCTAATCCGACACAAGATATTTGAACTAAAACTCGTATCTTAGTTCCACAACTATTTTAGAAAAGACCAGCTTTCAGTTCCATAGTAGAAACTGCTCTCATATCTCCACGATATTTTCCTTCACAGATAACGTCTTTGCGAACGGCACAAACAGATTTCGGCTTTCGTCTGATGTGCATGCCTTGTGAATGTGGACTTCACAGGGCGTAGAGTTGTGCGGTGGGCAGATATTTCCGCACTACAGCTTCTTTTGCGTCTACCTAAATATATGATCATGAAAACGATAACCAATGGATGCGATGTGTGCAAATGCAAACAGCCAACTCCAAATGCTGCGCTGGACACGTGTATCTTGTTACAGTACAGAGAAGTCTTGCACGTCCCAAGATCTGTGTCGGCGAGACAGGTCTGAGTGGATCAAAAATGACTACAGCGGCCGGATCTACAGTAACTTTTGGTAAAGTAGCAAAAGCAGTGCATGTGTGCCGTATCTGATCCGACGCTTTCCGTGCTCATTGGGACCAGCGCGACAAACTGAAGCCTGGGCAGTCCGGATGGCGTCTGTATGGAAAGAGCTTGTGCCGACAGCGTCTCGTTGAGGGGAGCAATGGCGCCACCAATTTGAGCAGATTTTTCATAGGCAAGAAACTGCGACGCAGAATACAACTGCATTCTGTGGAAAAGCCGCATTGCCATCTAAGAACAAGATCGCAAAATGAAGACGGGGAAATCGTTGCGTGGGGTGGCGAGAATTCTGCAAGCTTCAGCCAAGGCCCGAAGCAAGTATATCCAGCTCGATGCGTTGGGCTCTAGCACTCGAACAATACAGACTATGTGTTTCCCGAACTGGAGCAAACACAACATTCTGTGGAGTTTAGCGACAAGGTCCGGTCACTGGAGAAGCAGTGGTATGCATCTTAAATCATCTCGAGGATTAACATATGTATCTCATCACTTTTGTCTGGCCCCAGGCGAGGTCGAAAAGTATTTGGAACACCAAAATCTCAAGTTCCGCCAAACAGATGAGCACGCAATAGTCGCAGAATGCCCGTGTTGCCCGCCGATAAATGGAAAGGCTGATAACATGTACAAGTTGTATATTGTACGAGAGTCTGGCGTTTTTAAGTGTCACCGATGCAGCACGCACGGGTCCTGGTTTGATTTTCGAAAAAGGGTTGGATACGGGCCTTCGCTTTTTTCTCCTATGGAGACGAAAGTGGACAAGAAAAAGAAACCCTCACGTTCTTCCGGAGAAACAAATGCCACTCAACAGCAGGTGTTTCCCAAGAGCGAGAACCAGGAAAAATATGTCCAGGGGCTCTGGTACAAATACCCATCTGCGAGGGAGTATCTAAAGAACGAACGAGGCCTAGACGATGCAGTGCTCAAAAAATACGGTGTTGGTGCCGCGCACTTTCCAATGACAGATGACCGAGGAGGAAGCAGTCAATTGTGTATCACATTTCCAATGTACGATGAAGATGAGCAGCTAGTGCGGCACAAGATTAGATCTATAGAAACGAAACGAGGAATGAGAATGAACCCGAAAGGGGGGGGTTGGGGTTTGTTTGGGCTCAATTCTGTGCCGCACGATGCTGATAGCATCGTCTTGACTGAGGGGGAGCTGGACGCCTTGAGTGTCCACCAAGCCACTGGGCGACCAGCTCTGAGTCTACCGAATGGTGCTAGCTCTCTCCCAATTGCGCTGTTGCCTGCACTTGAAAGGTTCAAAGATATATTCCTTTGGATGGATGAGGACGTTGCTGGACAGGATGGCGCCACGCAATTCTCGCGAAAGCTTGGTATCAAACGGTGTCGATCAGTTCGTGGTGTGGGGAGCAAGGATGCAAACGATGCATTGCGCCAGGGAAAAGACCTTGACAGTTTCATCCAATCCGCACAGGTCGTTCCCCATAAGGGTCTCATATCATTCGCGGATATGCGTGACGATGTGTTCTATGAACTGGCGAACGTGCGCGAGCTCAAAGGTCTACAAAGCCGTTCATTACCCAGGTTGAACAACTTTTTGTCGGGACATAGGCGTGGAGAGCTGACAATTTTCTCCGGACATACTGGTGTAGGGAAAACTACAATACTCTCTCAGCTCGCTCTTGACTATTGCATGCAAGGTGTACCGACCCTGTGGGGTTCTTTTGAAGTCGGGAATGTTCGTCTGGCTACCCGTATCTTGCGACAATTTCACAGTGCCCACGAACCCCGATCGCCTCTACTTGAGAATTTCGATGAGTGGGCAGACCGCTTATCGCAACTTCCACTGTATTTCATGCGCTACCACGGCTCGAATGAAGTGGAGCGTGTGATTGAAGCAATGGAGTACGCCAACTATGTTTATGACTGTTCGCATGTAGTTTTGGACAATTTGCAGTTCATGACGAGCGGTCAAGGTGGGCAAGGCAAGGACCGTTTTGCGGTATTGGATAACGCAGTAGGGCAAATCCGCGAATTCTGCACAGTACGAAATGCACACGTCTCGCTAGTTGTTCATCCTAGGAAAGAAGATGATGACATGAAGATTATGACGTCCAGCGTTTTTGGGAGCGCGAAAGCAACTCAAGAAGCAGACAACGTGGTCATTCTACAAAAGACGTCTGACGGACCTGTCTTAGACATTAGAAAAAACCGGTTTGATGGAACTTTGGGTGCCGTACAACTCAAATTTGATTCCAAGAAGCTTCTTTTTGAGGAGTTAGGGACTAGCGGAGCATGGGCGCTTCCGAAGGATGAAGTGAGTGAACGCGAAACGGAGAAATGGCCGGGTGGACTGAACGAGACTGGAGTTGGCCAAGGTCGGGACAAGCGTAAATCAATGCTCAAGCCGAAGGGAGGGAAACTAGGACAGAAGCTTGAGGCTTGGCGCAACAATCAAAAGGCTAAAGAGGGCAGATGAGGGGTCGACTGTTTGTGTGACGGAGACAAACACTCACCCGTCGTGGGGTTAACGCCTATGCTGCTGGAGGAGCCGTTTCTGACATACAGGGACAAGAGCAGAATTCGGCCTTGTGTGAAGAGCGCGTGGGCGAGGAGTGAGGCTAGTTGCTTTTCACTTGCTTGGCACGCCATTCACTCTCCCTATCATGTCTTGTCTTACCATCAGTCTGTCTCGAGAGGAAAAATGCTTGCGGTAGCTCAAATAAATTCAATACTGTACAGGAGGCGGTTTCTACGCTTTTCGTTGAGATGCACGTCGATGCTAAGAAGGCTTGGTGCAGAAGGAAGAGCGTTTCCAGATTTTAAGAAGGATGCTCTTTCAGGAAAAGCAGAGGTTTGCGGTCCTTCGATAAAGGAACTCCGTGTGCGAGAGGAGCATTACTTTCTTCACACTGCTGTGATTGACAACAAGGAAACGTGATGCTGCTCGAACAAAGAATGTCGCGCATGGAGTATGGAGCGCAGCTGCACATATGGTAGAATAATTTAAACTTATTATTTTAATATAAATGCGATACCGTACAACTGTAAGACATCACTTATTTTGATCCAGTGCCGCAAGCGTAGGTGCTCCACCAATTTTCTTTAACGTACTGCGAAACTGCGAGAAAGGGACTTGACCTCCAAGGGCAAAATGAGAGGACGTTTCTCTTGTCTAGTGCTGATAATGCGTATGAGTGAGGAGCGGGGACATCGCTTGCAAACGGATGGAAAATAACGACATAGATGCATTTTGCTGTTGGAAACAGTAAGTGACGACAACTGGACCGAGGAGGCGTGTGCTATCTCTACTCCATGGGGATTGCTTGTAGATAAGTGGATGTGCAACAAGAGGACAGCTCGCATCCGAGTTAAAGCCAAGTGTCATGTTAGAATGGAATTTGCATGAATATATCTAGTACAGCGTTAGAATGAGATATCAGTGCTTGAAAGAGCAACAAATCTAGGGGATTATTGGAGAAGATGCGGACTTGCAAAGTAAGAGGGCGAGAGAATGGGATTGATTTGTATATAGTGCAGGGCACGTCGACATAAAGAGAGAAGAATTTGAGTGTAGCAAGGCATCTCGGAGCTCGAGTTTACTACTCTACAGACACGTCGAGGTTTAAGCTGCACTGTAGTGAAGATATTGCAGTTACAACGTACAGGAGACGTGCGAAAGATGTCAGATTCGGTCCAGCACAAACAGGGAAGAGTATATTTCACAATGTGAGGAGGTCTACCGCGACAGTGGGAAACTCTGCTGAGCGTGCAGCATTCATACATAAAATGCTTGACAGAACAGTCGCTAATGTGAATGAAACAGGCGTTCATACTGTACAGTCATTGCAGTGAGGTAGGCACGTGCCAAGCCGCACTTGCATAGGCTCGGCGAGATATATGCATGTACTAACATGCGATAGCCTGCGTCTTGTAGAACTGGCACGAGTGCCGGACCAACGCCGCATGGGTGTGAATATGCCACCTCTGGCAATTGCCAACTTGAGCACATGTGGCAGGAACAAGGAGTATTCAACTGGTACGTCTGCATTGGGTAGTGCGCCTTGGGCGCCCTATGATTGGACAGTCGCCTCATTTTCCTTGCACTCCATTGGCCGAATATACTCCCAAGATCCATAGGGAAATAAATATCTTTTTTTCTTAAAGTCTCAATTAAATATTTACCTCTTAAAAAGTCCAGATAGCAAAAGAATGACCTATACTTATGATATGAGTCGCCCCCAAAAGTGCTTCTCAGCGTTCCTCCCCAGGACTAATCCATTGCATCCTCCGCTGCTCCGTACTACATAACTGAACTTCACTCTAGCCTTTGTCGCCTTCTTCCGGCGACATCGACAACGACCTGCCTCTCAATTGAACACACTATTGCAGGTCCCTCCCATCGTTATTGCGAATTTTTTCCCAATCCACAATGACCCCAGCCTTCGCTCCATCGCTCCCCCTTCCATCCCGCGACCGCGCGACCCTGCGCGCACGTCTCTCCCACACCCGCGCCCCTGTCGCGGTCTTAGGCGAGGCCCCCCGACCCGTCTCCGCCCCAATCTCCCATCCATGGACCCCGTCCAGCTGGCGCACACGCCGCGCCTTGCAGCAACCCACCTACCCTGATCAGGAACATCTCGCCCGCGTGGAGAACACTATCTCACATCTCCCAGCCCTCGTCTCTCCTGGAGAGATGCGCGCACTTAAGGCTCAACTCGGTAACGTCGCGCTTGGGCACGGCTTCGTCCTGCAGGGCGGCGATTGTGCTGAGAGCTTAGAGGAAACCTCTGAGGGCGTTACCGATAACATTCGCGCCCTCTTCAAGATGGCCGTCGTACTCATGTGGGGCTCCCAGGAACCCGTAGTTAAGATCGGCCGCTTGGCAGGACAGTATGGAAAGCCGAGGAGTGCGGATACTGAAGTGATTGATGGCGTTGAGCTTCCTAGTTACAGAGGAGAGGTGAGTGAATTCTACCATACTAATTCTTTCCTCTACTTGTGGAAGTTGAACTTTTGTTTGGATACTAACACGTTTCTATCTTTATGTCGCATTGGATTTATGATGTAGAACATTAACGGTGCACCGTTCACTCCGGAGGCGCGAATTCCCGACCCCAACCGAATGTTGCTGGCTTACAATAGGAGTGCAGGAACGACGAATCTTGTCCGCGCCCTAGCATCGGGTGGTTTCGGGGACCTCAAACGCGTCAAAGAGTGGGGTATGGACTGGTCGATGGGGACGGCCAAGGGTCGTGAGTACATGGCCACGGCCGAGCGTATTGCGGAGTCGCTTCATTTCATGGAGACTTGCGGTGTGAGCCCGCAGCAACCTGTTATGACCTCTACCGATGTCTTCACTTCCCATGAAGGCTTGCTTCTCCCTTATGAACAAGCTCTTACAAGGATGGATGAGGAGACTGGCGAGTGGTACGATTGCAGCGGCCATTTCATATGGATTGGGGAACGGACAAGGGAAATTGAGGATGCCCATGTGCAGTTTGCAAAGGGGATTGCCAACCGTAAGTTTATCACCCCGACGTTCTGGCGTCCTTTGTGAAATGCGAAGCTGTGTATTTGACAATCTGGACTAACCTTTTTACCTGGTTGCGACCCTTTCGTTGGCCTCTTTTTATGTCACGTAGCTATCGGTGTGAAGGCTGGCCCAACCATGAAGCCAGAAGAGCTTTTGCGTTTGTGCGATGAGTTGAACCCTACCAATGAACCCGGGCGACTCACAGTCATCACTCGAATGGGGGCTGGTAAGATTTTGCAAGGACTGCCGCCTCTTGTGCGAGCGATCAAGCGAGAAGGACGCCATGTCGTCTGGGTATCTGACAGTATGCACGGAAACACGTTCAAGGCGGACTCCGGCTTCAAGACGCGATCCTGGAACCGAATAATGACTGAGGTTCGCGGCTTCTTCGCGGTGCATGAGGCCGAGGGAACAAAGGCGGGCGGTCTGCATTTCGAAATGACCGGCAAGGAAGTGACTGAGTGCGTTGGAGGTACGCGCAAAATCAAGGCTGAAGATCTCTCTCAAAGGTACGAGAGCCTGTGCGACCCCCGGCTAAACCAGTCTCAGGCTTTGGAAATGGCTTTTGAAGCTGCAGAAATTCTTCGTAGCCAGCGACGAAACCATTAATAGTTAGTTCGTTTTCCATTTTTTAACCGATGCAAGTTAAGGGTGTTGCTACTTGCTTGGGATTCTTGTCATTGGTTTAGAGGATGAGTCGTGAGAGAACTCACTCGGGCAAGCAGACGGGAGCGCAAGTGCACGTGACGATTTGGCAGAAAATCTTAGCAGGATGTGCTCCCAAGGAGTGCACTTGCGAGTCGCATTGTTGGATGTAGAATATTCTCATCAAAGAAATGGTGTTGATTGGTCCCTTACAATCCTGACAGACTGTAGTCGTGTGTTGATTCGCAGAGTGAAACCCTTCAAGGCAAATCCCCAAAGCCAATGGTCGAGCACGGCCTAGCACTGACCTGTATGCGGCGGAGGTGACCTCCAACTTCTCCCTCTCAGGATTTGTTGGATGCGATACAAGCCAAGTAAACGTAACACGATTTGTTGGACCTGTGACATTTGTTTCCCCAACTAGCTCTTTTTGAGTCCCGCCGACTTTGCGGAGTGTGTCGACACCCTTCTAATAACGGCACAAGGGCATTGATCATATTCTTCATTGGTGATCTAGAATTCAAACAACCCGTATCCTCAGAATTACCGCTCATGGCCGCACTCATCGCAGGCACATCCGGGATCCTCGTGTGCGGCTTGGTGCTGACTGCGCTCCCGCTCGCGAAGAAGAAGAACCTTCGTGGCTCTCGCGGAAAAATGTGGACGTCAGCCAATCTTAACCCGCATGTGGGGCAAGAGCCGATATACTGCCGATTGTGCGACGGTGAGGGAACCATTCCCTGCACGCTATGCAACAAAACGGGTATCCTCGCCAGGGGGGGCTTTGCAAAGCGCAACACTATACGTGTGCCTTCGCTAGTCGGCTCGAAATGGACAAGCGTGTCAGCGATAGACGGGAAATGGCGCCACTTTTTGTGCACAGCGAAAAAGGGAAAGAACACGAAGGATGGAATTGCCATATTGTCGAGCACGTGTGGACCGGTGGAGAATAGGATTCGGATTGAAGTGCCGCTGAAAGAGCTGAAGACCAGGGAAATGTGGGAAGGGGGTTGGACGACACTTAACGATATTAGGGGGGCCGCCGGTGTGGCGGGCACTACGTGTTCGGCATGTAGGGGGCTTAAAGCAGTGATGTGTCCTAGATGTGATGGCCTTGGACAAGTGGGATTATGACGACAAGGACTGGACATTGCTTTTTTTTTACAACCCAACGGAGATCGGCGCTTGCCATGCCATTAATTTGAAAGCTACAGAGTAGCTAGTCTCTACAGCTTCCAGTCAATGACATCCTGGTCAGTGCGGGTAAGGAATTCATTTGCTTGAGAGAAATGTTTGTTTCCAAACCATCCACCTCTGTTTGCGGAAAGTGGGCTCGGGTGTACACAAGTCAATACGCAATGCTTCTTCCTATTAATAGAAGCGCCCTTCTTCTTCGCGTATCCACCCCATAGCATGAAGACGATACCAGGGCCTTTTCGATGGTTGAGCGCTTGTACAACGGCGTCGGTAAACCGCTCCCAGCCCCTTCCTTTATGTGAGTTGGGTTCACTAGACACGACAGTGAGAACCGAATTAAGCAGAAGCACACCCTGATTTGCCCACTTCTCAAGACAGCCGCTCCTGGGTCGAGTAAACCCGGGAATATCCTTTTCTAACTCCGCAAAGATGTTTATGAGAGACGGGGGCGGGCGAACACCGTCCTGGACGGAGAAACACATGCCATGGGCCTGCCTAGGCCCATGATAAGGGTCCTGTCCGATGATGACGACGCGCGTCCTTGCAAAAGAGGAATGATTGAAGGCTGAAAAGACTTTTTCAGGCGGTGGGAAAATGGTTTTCGCGTTACGTTCCGCAGCGACGAACTCGGCGAGCGACTTCCAGAAGGGCTCGTTGAGCGTGTTGGACAAGGCCTTCCTCCAGGACGGTTCGAGGGAGGCGCCAAACGCGGGTTTTGATGTGGCGTTACTGTTGGCACGGGCGAGGAGCTTTGCGCGGGCAGCGGCGCGGTTGGCCTCGATGCGGGCCTTGACGTCTGGGGCGAGGGTCTGAAGCTTGAGCTCTTGGGCGGCCTTCGGGGAGAGGGCCGAGGCGCGCTTGGTGGTCTTGGAGATGGAGGCAGCGGGGGACGGTTTCTTGAAAAAGGAGGTGATGCTCTTCTGCATGTCGGAGTTGCAGTGGGAGAAGCGGGGTGGAGGGCATGGGAGGAAAACTCTGGCTCTACGGGGCCGGAGGGGTGCGGGAGTGGGAGGAGCGTGAATGCTCGCGGTTTCGAGACTAGTTTTTAAGACATGGAAGGAACCTGGCACGATTTGTGTGGGTTGAAGTATGGTTTATGGTTTCATATTTGGCGGCAAAATTTGCGCCGAGATTTACAAGCGTCAGGTGAACACGTGTCGTCGTAGCACGGAAGTTGCGACGTTCTCGGTCTGTCTGCACGAAGTGTGTGCATGTGGGCGAAGTCGTTAGGCCTTGCAGGTTTAGCAATCATAAGGCATCAGCCTTCCATGAGTTGGGCTGGTTCAGAATCTACATGACCCATTGCGGATGTTTCCCTAACGTAGATAGGCGAGGGTCTACCCGCTAGTTATGGCATGACTGATAATGGGAGAGTATTTGTAAACCCGGGAACCAGTGCGACTGAAGCTGGACTTTTTAGTGTGCAACTGCTGGTCGCGGCCTCAAAAACGAATGGAGAATGACAGATCGCACATTCCTCGACACTACTCGACGGGTCGTCGTCCACAGATCGCACACATGTCACCGCATTACAGCACATGTAGTGCAGTATAAATATGACCAGAATAGTACGACGAAGTAAAAGTGAGGGGACATCGGTCTCCCGTTCTAATTCTAACAGAGAACAATATAAACAGTTTGCGTTGGACGCGAGTACTGTACCGCATACGAACAGAGTGCGAATCGCAAATAATTACAGCCCTCGTCGGCGACGAGGGCTGTAATTATTGGCGACGAGTCGTCGCCCACGTCTTTGCGGGTCTTTGCATGGTACGGGCTGATTTTGCCAAAAGAGCGCACGTCCCGGCACTTAAAAAGGAGAAACGAACAAATATCGGGCTGTTCTGGGCTTCCCTACTGTACAACACTTCACTGCGCGGAGAGTTTACCATTCGGGACTCTTGACGTTTCGGTTGATCTTTGGTAACACCGGCATATCCCTAGTATTTTTTATGTACGATGTATCGTACATAACGTCCCTATTTGAAGCACATTCATTCTACCATTCCTCCGCAACAAATGTCCCAATCCCATTGGTAAGTCATTCGCCGTTACAAGTGGGCTCTTATGAGCAATCCACGTGTTCATTTCTGGGAAAGACCCAGAAATGATCGTGTTAAGGTGTGAATTGAGTGAATCCAGACTACAGTACGACTTTCGTAAGCAAACCTGCTCTAGCGCTTCAGCTGAAGTTTCTCGAAACCCTCTTCCATCTTATCCCATCTTCACGTATCCTTCAGCATCTTCTTTCCCAATGGCAGAAGTGCTCCCATCCAATGACTCCACCGAAGCACCAGGAGAACTCATAAGCGCCAACCAACCGCCCGCTTCAACAGAACTACCGGGAACTACCACACCTCTACAATCCGCAGGCAATAATGAGACACCAGCAGATGGTGCAGGCGCAAACGGCATCCCTGCTCCAACAACGCCACACGTTTATGTCGTGCGATCGACAGCACGTGGGAGAGGGAGAGGACGGGGAAGGCGTAGGGGTCGCGGAAGGGGTTCGATAAGACGTGCCACCCGCAACAGCCAAGTAAATGCGTTAACACCATGTGATAGATGGAGAATAAAAGCTGTAGTGGGAGAAAGAATTCAAATGGACAACGTTTTCCTTTCAAATGCTTTAACGGAACGCGCTCGTTTATTCTGTCGATCAGCGTTGGATCACATGCATACGGACATGAATGTGAGACGTTTGGATCATTCTAGAACAAGTCACATTGTGCTTCTATGTGAGAAAGTGCTGCACAAATGTTTGGACTGGACAAATGAGAGCATTGTACTTAAAAATCTGAGCATGAGTCCTCTTCGAATGTCCGACATGTACAGCTTTCTGGGTGTGTTTGTTTTCTCGCAATGCTCTGGTTTCAGCCTAGCTAAGAGCTTATTTTTTCTGAGCAAACTGGATTGTCCCGTTCGTACACTACAGCTGGTTCGGTTCATCAGTTCGAAAATTCTCGCCTTTTCAGCGACCGGAAGAGGCGATCAAGGTGAGTCCGTTTGGAACTCGCAACGGGACCAAACCGTCCATTTGTCAGAGTTCGAGCAAGCGGCTTATCGTATGTCCTGTAAAGTGTTCTTATCTCGTGGACACACGTTTGCGACTCTGGATGATGATCTATACGGCACACGGGCCATTGACAATCAAGTCAAAACTTTAAGCGCACGAAAGGCCGATAAAGAAGGGCACACTGTAGATGCTATCGCCGACGCATTATTCAGGACAACGCTGATGGTGCGGTTTCGCCGGCGTGGGGAACCGCAAACTGTCAACGTCGAGAAACTATTTGACGCGATGTTGGAGACACGTGGAGAGCAAACATTGACTGGCTTTTTGGTAACAGCGGACAGGGGTTATGGGAAATTTGAGATGCTTGAAGGGCTGGGAATGAGAGGGATCGGCTTCATGTTTATTATGCCTGAGCATTTGCTGAAGTGCCATCCGTTTGTGAGACGCTCCTATTTTATTGCGACAAGACATGACCTAGAGGAAGACAATGCGGCAAGTACTGTAGATGGAGACGATTCAATTGCTGGCAATGGATTTGATTTCGGTGCTGACGTTTACGATCGAGATGCTGCCCTCGTCATTGATGACAGCCCCGACAAGGGGCCTTTAAGCAAATACGCAGAGAAAGCGTTCTGAAGTGAGAACAATACATCAAGACAGACGGTCACAGCTGTTGCCGGAAGGGAGAGGGGAACGAACAAGTTTTCAAAAGTGTTGTGCTTCGCATACTGCCTTCCCGGCAGGCTTTCATCGTTATTGAAGTGTTGGGTAGCTGTTCCGCGGGCGTTGTTGCAGCGCAATCTTTTGTTTAGTAAGCGTTTCAGTGACGGACGGCTCGTCATACCGCAACAAGGGTCAATAGAGACGAAGGATCTCAAAGAGTTGCACTGCATTTCTGCTTGCAAAGTTTTGACGATAGACCAACGTTGCGCGGACTGGTTTATTTTGAGGCAATTCCGCATAACAGGCACTATCGCTGGGGAGACATTACTGGCTGATGAGCATGTTTGCTCTCTTCTTGGATTACAAACAAACCCAACAGCAGAACATCGGACATCGTCGGTGAAATTTAGGAACCTTGCAAGCTCTTGGTTTACTTCTGCGTGCTCAAGTTAAGCGATGATCCGAAGAACGGTGAATGAGAAAGCAGTACTGAAAGCGTTACTGAACAAAGAGTTCATTTTGGGACTGCAAGAATGCGGGATGTTGGCTGATAAAGAAAACCCCTGGATGGCGTGTTCCCCTGACGGAATCGCTCTGATTGACATCCAAAGGACTGCCTTTGCTGATTCCACCCGAACAGAACAATCTGCTAAGATTTCATGCATTGAGATCAAGACCAGTGTGTGTCCGTCCTCTCTTGCAAGATCGCTAATGAACGCAAGTGTTAACTTGGTATGCGCTAAGATTGGAGATGAAAATTTCAAACAGCGTATTCCTCGAGAACACACTGGACAGCTGATGCAGCAGATTGTTATCACTAGGACAAACTATTGCCTTTACGTGGCTTGTTCGGAGTCAGCCCTCTTGTCATGCACTTTAGTTTATGTGCCAGATTCTGCGGTACAAAGCTTCTGAACATCACTGAAAACAAATGCCGAGCCGCTCGTTGCATGGGCGCATGAAGATTCCCCGTCTGTGCCTTCCTTCGTAGATGCTGAAACCAAGAAATTGGTCAGAGACAGGCTGCCGTTTTGGAAACTCGCCAATGACCACGTCACTCAAAACGATACGTTCATTCCACTTTGCTTTTCAAACATGGCATGCAAGCCATTTACTGGAAAACCAAAGGTGGAGTGGATGGAAGTGCACAAGCTTGGGCCATTCTACGGAGTCCTACGTCCACTATGAAATGAGAGCAAAAGGTCGTTAGTCAGACATTGAAGACTTTAGTTGTCAACGCATTTATTGGCTGGAGGTTCGCAGAAAAGAAGGATCTCGTGGACTACGGCGAGCGCTTTCAGAATTGGACGTCATTCCGAAGCGCTCTAAACAGTATCGGATCTTTGGCTGACTTTTGTGCTGACGCTTCTGTGGAACTACTAATCTATGCCGACTCGATAGCACGTCGCGAAGATGAAGAACCTAGTGGTGCTAACCAGAATGATACAACAATACAGGGAGGGGAAGCGGCAAGGCTGCGTGAACTTGCCAAGAAGCGAAGGCGCAATAAAATTCAGTTCTTTAATAGCGACGATGGGATAAAGCTGAGACTAAACGTTCCCGGACACTGCCAAAAGCAGATGAAAAATGAGCGTTGGTGCTCTCTTTGCGGCATGAACCGCGTTTCGGATGGAGGATTTCGAGGTCACTGGTAATGCTTTAGATGCTCGCATTGTGATTTCCATCTATGCATACGTACTTATGCCAGATTCCGTAGGTCGTGTTGGGATTTATGGCACTCAAACAAGCGCCTAGAACCCCGACAAGAGTCGAGATCATCATGTTGCCGCTCACCATCAAGTCAGGGTGGCACATCCTGTCTGACAACGCCAACAGAGGTGCGCACCCGGCGCCGGCGTCGTTCTGTTGACTCTGAAGATCGATCTGCTAGGCTTCGGGCTCGTACGAGTTAGTTGTGGGAAAGAACAGGCATTTGTTTGTGCCTTCTTATGTACCATATATCGTACATAGCGAAAAAAGCAATACATTTGCGTGCCTCTAGACCCGATTTTTACCAGTAGAATTGATCGACATGTAGATGTCCTTCGGTAATGAAGTCTTGCATACCGTTTCTTCACACGCCTTGGCGTTGCTCCGTGACCCCAGAACTGGGAACAAATGATGCCGGGCTGAACTCTGCGAGTGTGAACTTTAATGTACGATACATCGTACATAAAATAAAATATTAGGGATATGTATTGTACAGTATGGCACGTGGCGGCAAATATCGTGATTCTTCCATTGACAAGAACAATCCAGGGTCCACTTTTTCAAAGATTTACAGCTGAACGAGTCCCCTAATGACCATACATACAGAAAATTACATCAACTGTACCCGTCGATGATTGGATGCCGTCTTTGATAAGCCAGCTCCACACGTGTCGGCCGTTTCCGGTTGCGAGGGATTGGAAACGCTCTCGAGAAATATGAGAAATTTCAGTTGTGCGAGATCTGTCGTATGTTACGTAGAAGGTAAACGTGGGAACATTGAACGTGGGAGCTGCACGATTGCGGGGGAGTTTCCCATTTGTTGTTTAGTGATCCCTGAGGAGACGTGACATGGCTATCCGGCCCCCTATTGGTCCCGATCCTGCAAGTGCACCCAAAAAGAGGTCACCGCATTGTCACCCTTTTCGCCGTCTCCTCATCAAGGTCGCTGCATGGCAGGACCACAGCGCACGGCTGCGGTTCATGTATGTACCTCGACCAACCAGGTATCTACCGCTTCTCCCTTCCTATTTTGGATTCGAAATCCCCCTATCCAAACGCACAGCTATTTGTCCTACCCCTTTTGCCCATGTCCTTGCCCAAGGATAAAAGCCCTCGACTCCTTTCCTCCCCCGCATCCTCCCCCTCATGGTCCTTACCATTCGACATTGAAAGCTTCACGCTGCCGATCGCCACCCCAAATCATCTCCCAAACAGTGTTTGCGATGCCGCAACGAACCGCAGAGCAACCACGCCGCTCGGCCCGAGCGAAGCGCAAACCTGATGTTTTGAATTTGGCACCAGAGCCCCGGCGCTGGAAGAAGTCGAAAGAGGCCTCCATTGCCGATCGCCTCGCAAAATCTCCGGCTGTCAGGTCCCTAACGACTAAAAAGTCTTCGACCAGCACTTACGTGCCGTCAAAATACACTCTCTTTCTAGACGGCGATTTTGACGCCGTCCACTGGAGACCCATCGAATCGACTGAGAAACCCAAGACAAGTCTTTTACATCAGCTTGAGTCAGGGGGAAACGATGTCCACGCCTATTTCACATCCAAAAACGCTGGCAAGTTAGCTGCAGAGGAGGGGAGCACAGCCCATATGTACAGACATGTCGGTTCCATTCTGCTCAAAGACTTTTGTCCATCGCCCAAACATGTAACTCTAGAGGAGAGACGTAAGGCAGAGCATGTCAACCTTGCTTACATTTTGCGTGAATCGACGGCTGACAACTCCGAGGTCCTCCACGCTCTGTATTCGCTTTCCTTGAAGGGTCAGCGCCCATACCCCGCCCCGTACATCGTCGTCTTGGCAGACAGGCCTCAGTTTTGTGCAGTCAACCTCGAGACTGGCTCAGATTTGGTAGTGGAAGTTTACGTCGGTCGTCTTTTGTTCGAGCTCATTGCCTATGTTGATTCTAAGACGCTTTTTGATGCGTTGCAACCATCCGTCCCCTTTTCGCCTCTCCCAAAACTGCCGACACACCCCAAGACCTTCGGTAGGAGTCCTCCACCGTCCTGTGGTGATCAATTCACAACATGTGGCCTGTTGCGTCGCGCAGAGTCCGTCGGTCATGCCTCCCTTAGTCCCGAGCACAGTGCGAAGCTCAAAAAGATAATTACGGTTGACTTGTATCCCTTCCAGAAACAAACAGTGAGATGGATGCTGGATAAGGAGAATGATAAGTATTCTATCAACCAATACTTTTGGGAAGAAAGGTCATTCTCAGATTCTGTCGATGGTTGCCCCAATCGCTACTACTACTTTCCCCTGGCCGGTGAGCTCCGCCTCCGAAAGCCCCCTGATGTTCGGGGCGGTATGATAACTGAGGAGATGGGTCTCGGCAAGACTGTCGAAGCCTTGGCCTTGATTGCCGCCCAGAAAAAGGAACATGAGCGGGTAGAGCTTGATATCTTCTGTGAAAAGAAACCAACCGGTGTTTCGATCACCCAGGGCCGCGTTCGTGCTATGAAAATGAACCAGCGAAACGAGGACAAAGCCCAGATGGTGTTCTGCCCTCTCAATTTTGGAGATGAAGTCCTCGATTATGATCCTGACGTGCCGTATCCGAAAACTCTACGTGTTCGCAGATGGCCCGCGAAAACGACTCTTGTCTTGTGTCCTACATCTCTTCTGGAACAATGGCGAACAGAAGCTGAGGAGAGAGCACCATCTCTTTCTCTTGCAGAATGGGGTACGGGCGCTTCTTCGAATACTCTTAGGACTACTCCTGATATTGCCGTTGGCGAATTCGCCAAAGACATTGTCCTAGCATCCTATGACGCTCTCAAGAGGGACTCGACTCTGTTCAAGATAACCTGGAAGCGCTTGATTCTAGACGAAGCGCAAGTGACACGGCGTTCCTCGGCACAATTGGCTCGCGATACTTTTAATCTTCGGTCGGAGTCGCGATTCTTGATGACAGGGACGCCGATTGTCAAAGGTTTAGAAGATCTGCGAGGGGAACTTGCGTTCTTGCGGGTTTGGCCGTTTACACTGTTCGATGATGGCTTCTGGGAACGTTTGATATACTGTCCCTTTGCAGCTCAAGAAAGTACGGCATTTATTGACCATCTTCTAAACGTCACGATGATGCGACACTCTAAGGCTCAACAGCTATCGCTTGAGCTACCCCCGCGATCCTATGAAATCATTGAGGTCAAACTTGAGGGATCCTACCGTGCAGTATACTGCTACATACTAGGATGTTGCCTTGAGGAACTTGATGATGAAAACGGGCCGACAGATACATGCCTGCTGGCGCTTCGAACACTATTGCGAATATTGCTGTCAGCTTGCATTTCCCCAGAACTTCTCAGTCTAACTGCCCTGGACCTCGCCCGAAGAAGCACATGGTCACGAAGACGCGGGCTGTCTGGTTCGTCAGTGCAGAGTGGTGGCGAAGTGGACCTTGCCAAGACAACAGCAGAGGAGGCCATTCAGTTTTTGGCAGAAACAGGAACCCGTATTGTCCGTGACTCGAAACGCTCTCGCGCTCTACCAACAGGCCAAGGACTTCCGTATGAGCAATATCTACGAATGAATGTGGATGACTTGGTGACATTGGTGGAAGCTAGAGGCCTCCTGTCCGAAGTTGGTGGAAATTTTAACCAAAAGCGTCTCGCACAACTCGCTGCTGGAGGTAGACATCGAATTATCACCGACACTCTATCGCAGCTTCGTCAAACAGCAATAGCTGCTGGTTTGACAACAGGAGTTCAGTCGCGCGCGCTTCCCCGAGACAGCTTGATATCGATTTTGACCACACACTACGATTCAGTGGAGCGACGAAAAGCTCATGGCAATATTCACGAAGCCGGGTTCGCTGCCCTAACTAAATTGATCGAAAAGAAAGAGCGGCCGGGTTGTCCAGTGTGCATGGATTCATCTGTTGAGCGACTCTCGTTAACTAAGTGCGGGCATTTCTTCTGTGTTACATGTATTTCACTCATGTTTCGCACTCTCGGGGAGAGCAGAGTGCAATGCCCCATCTGTCGCCGCAAAATTCTGCCGAAAGATGCAATTGAAGTAGTATCCTCGGACAAGGATGAACTTTCTGAAACCGTAGCAGGTTCTGATGATGGTAGTGGGCTTGACCAAGATTTGGAATCGCCTTTTTCAGTCACAAAGGTCATGACAACTATCTCGGAAGCAGATATCGAACGATATCGAGATGCACCCCGCCCCACTGCTGCGGAAGTGTGGGAGGAATATGGCCAAATAGCCTCACCTCATAATCGCTACTTAGGTGTCGGTCGCGATTCAGATTTGCCCTCTCTTGATGCTGAGTTTTTGCGGCACATGAAAGCTGCCACTGCTCATGAGGCGGTTTCTCCGAAACTCGATGCCCTTCACGAATTGATTCGGACCTCTGAGCCCGGGTCAAAATTCTGTGTAGTGGCTGAGACTACTGATAGCTTGAGAGGCATTGGGGCTTGGTTAGAGAAACAAGGAATTCCTGTTGTCGGTGTTGGCTCTCGCAACTGGCATATGAGCCAAGCTCACTCCCTTGGCAGAGCCTCCCAAGAATTTGCAAAGGACCCAAACATCAGAGTGTTCATGCTTAATACGGCAAACGCTGCTGGGCTAACATTGACTGCGGCAAATTGCGTAGTCTTTATGGGACCCATGGTGCGGATAACGGATGAGATGCAAGCAGCTGCACGTGTTCACCGAATTGGCCAACAGCGGCCAGTCAGAGTCGTGCGTATCGTTGCTCGCAACACAATCGAAGAGCAAATCATGTTCAGACGGGGAACAATCCACGGGACTGGGAAAGAAGCAAATGCCTTGATCACTCCGGCGAGTGAGCTTGCAGTTAGCGATATAGTGAGACTCTTCCGGGATGTCTCTACAGCGGACGAAGGACGTAATCTCCGCAGGAGTGCCAGGGCACGAGCCCGCAATCAGATGTAAAGCAACAGCTGAGGATCTGGGAGGTCGGCGCTTGCGATCATGAGGTAGTGCCCTTTCAGTCTTCCGTACCATAGTTCAGTATTTCGTATACGGTACAGTACTACTGTGCTGCACACACTAAAGTATACAGGACGGTTATTGGTTGAAGTCTGTTTCCAAACATGACAGTACTGTACTGGACAGCAAGACACGGTATGTTTGCTATTCTGATCCATTCTTGATGGGATCCCTACTTCTTCATCAGCCTTCTCAATTCGACCTGCCGCGATCTCTCATTTCAGCCTGGCACTGCGCGGTACTCAAGTCTGAAGTTCAAGCCCTCCTCATCTCTACTACGTCGTGCACTGATAATTGGCGAATTGCGCGTCAATCCATCCCGACTTCACTTGTATCAAGTACCCTTCATCGCCGTGACAGTGTTCGGTCTTGCAGGCCGTAGGATCACTGCCCCATTATATTGATCTATCGAGATTGGAGCATTCTTTGTGCATTGAAGCTACCACCCTGTCATGTTAAGAAGCGGTGGCAATCTTGTGCGTCGGATGCAGTGTCTATGTATTCGAGACCTACTACCTGCATCACGGTTTTCGTCCACAGTTTCTGCACAGTCTCCGGCAGCCAACCCAACGACACCATTCGTCCCAGACGTCCAGGAACCCCCATTAGATTCATGGAATGGAGCTGATGTCGAGGCCGTCGTGCACAAGTCGTTTGAGGACATGGTCCCGATCGAAGTAACTACTCTTCCGGGTCGTATTTTTAATGCTCCGATCCGCTCGGATCTGGTACATCGAGTAGTTATATGGCAGCTGGCGAAGCGCAGAGCAGGTACCGCCAAGACCAAAAATAGATCTGAAGTCAAGGGCTCCGGGAGGAAGATCAGGCCGCAAAAAGGCACCGGCCGCTCGCGCCAAGGCGCAATCACTTCTCCGATCTTTCGGGGTGGTGGAAGGGCACAAGGGCCCGTGCAAAGAGACTTCGACTACCCTCTACCCTTTAATGTCAGAAGGAATGGCCTTCGATCAGTGTTGTCTTCAAAATACGCCTGCGGACAGCTGTGGATCGTAGAAGACGCAAAAATCGAGGATACGAAGACGCGCCGAGTAATTCAGGCTATGGACCGATACGCGTGGAAATCAGCTCTTATTGTGGACGATGATCCAGAAGGCATAGCTGGTGTGGATCAGTCTCTACATGCAGCATCTCATAGTGTTCAACACACTCTAGCCATGAACGTTCGTGGCCTGAATGTTTACGACGCCATATATTTTGATATGCTTATACTGACAAGGCCTGCCCTGCGAAGCCTAAATGAGCGCTTCGCACGGTATAATTGGCTGGTATAGTTCCAGCGTCGAGGCTCTTTTTCACTACAGCTGCGTGATTTAAGCAAAATCTGCACTACCTCTACTCATCCAAAGGATCAATGTCTTCAAGAGTATCCTGTCCCTCCATGATTCTCCGGAAAGATCTTGAGGCGCCCTTTGATGGAGACCGCTGGGGCATGATTGCGGCATAGTCAGAATCCCGTGCTGAGTTCAGAGTCACCCAATCATCCCAAACGTGGAGCTGCTTGTTGTGTTCCACGAACCTCTGTCTCGGCGTGTTAGGCCTGGGTGACGGCGGCCTGATCCCCTCCCATGTGTCCTCATTATGCGCTTCCCGAGTCATTTCCGTCAGCGTTTCGTGCGTGTAAAGCGGGTTACGCTCTCGCCTGCTTTCCGAGCTAGGCGTGCGAACAGCAAATTTGATAGAACGACAGGAGTCCGTTGCACTTCCGAAGCTCGTCATGTGTCGGAACGTCGGGGGTCCATCCTCACTTGAACAGCGGCTATATCCAGAAAGACTCTTCAATCGCCGTGCGAGAACCTGCCCTCCCATTTTGGTGGTTGGAATGGCGTTATTCAGTAAACCAAACGCACTTTGGGCGCTTGGATCCCTCTCTTTGTCTGGAAATGACTTGTGCGAAGGCGTTCGGACCATTCTTGCTTTCTGGCAGTGTAATGCTTCCTCGAAGGGGAACGATTTGGTTGTAGTCTGCCTCAGTCAGAAAGGCAGAGCGGAAAGCATTTATCCATTCCTCCGTGGTTTGGTGCCGTTGGCCTTGGCATTTACACACAGCGTTTCTTGACATTTTGATGAAAGGTGAAACAACTCTGAGGTAGTATCCATGATCTGCAATAAATACAGAGTTTAAAAAACGGCCATGAAAGAGCATGACATGCGACCGAAAACAGTCTTCTTAGTCATGTTTTGAATGCCCTCCGTCAGCTTTCAAAATATTTTGGAAAAGGTGGCCACTCTTGCTTCGGCGACCCGCAGCCTGTTCGCGCACGAGTTTGTCCCTGAGGAGGTAAAACCAAAAGTTAGCAAAAAAGGCGCCACCAAGGTGAGCCGCAAAATCAATTTTCCCCAGAGATCCAAGCAAGCCCGCTGCATCGATGACGGTGTATGCAATAACGAGCTCTTGCATTGTTAAAGTCTTGTCTGTGCCAAAAAAAGACATTCGTCTGTCTGGAAAGAAGCATGCATACAACCAGAGGACCGATACGACGGCTCCACTTGCCCCAAGGCTCAGCACATTGCTTTTTGTGACTCTCCGAAAGGTGAGGCTTGCGAGTGAAGAAGCAATCCCTGAGGTTCCGTAGAAAATATAAAAGCGATGGGCACCCAAGACGTCAGCGACATCTGGGCCAAACCTGTTCAAAAGATACATGTTTGCGCCGAGATGAAACATGCTCATGTGAGAGAAGTTTGAAGTCACACTCGTCCATACCCTTCCCCTACGCATTGATTCCAATGAATTGGCAAAGTGGCTACACCATCATACACCAAAATAGAAACAACCAAATCCATAAGTTAGACATGCCCCGACGCAATTTCAAAAACAACGAAGGTGGAATATTGCACTTACCGAACCATAAATGCCGTTGGGACAGCTTTCCATAATAGATAAACCCCCACATTGGCTGTGATAATCTTCAAGACGGTGGCTCCCCCTTCCGTATCCACCCTGTCCTTAAGGCTATCCCGGACCCCCTCATAACCCCCCCTGACAGCGTCTGAAGCCGCGAGCGGAAACTCACGCAGCGATTTGATTGAGAATCTGGAATCCCCTTGACCTTCATATCGAAACACGGAGTGCTGGTACGGCTCTCTATTGAGCTTTTCGCGGGCTTCGGCGGCGACAAGTAGACCTGTAAGGACGGTGGAAGCGGTGGCTACGGGAAACGCGGGGCGCCGGATGAGGGCGTTAGCGGTGGATCGGGTGGAGGGCCGGGAGATGATGGTGCGGAGCGAAGCGAGCAGACGGGTGGAGAAGCGCATTGCGTGCGCGAGGGGGAAGGCGACCCAGAGGGTCGGGGTGACAGGGATGTTGTTGTCTAGTGTCCGTTGCGCATGTGTTTGAAAGAGCTGAGCGCATGCCCTCGGATGTGCGGTTCGGAAGAGGATTGGGAACAATGTAGGATAAGTGGGCAAGACGGTGCTGAGTGAAGTTGAGCGAGTGCGTCCATTATTGACGAAGGGGCTTCGGAAACTCGGAGAAAGAGGTGAGAACGTTGATCAATCTGAGACGACACGTATGTATACGTGTCTGCGTGAGCTGATGACATGGTTGATCACGCTCGAACTATCCGTGCTGCACTGCATCTGGAGGACAACGCTGACCTCCCTCCCCTTGATTGGAAATTCGTCCCTCTTGCATTTGACACTCTTGGCGCCCCAAGTGCCCGCACCACATCCGTACTTGACTCTCTTGCTCGTCAGATCGCGACTCGCACTGGGACTTTATTTGGAACTGCCAAGTCCCGTCTCTCCCAGCGCCTTAGCTACACGATATGGTCCAGCGTAGCCTCGGCTACCGTCGCCCGTATGCCTTATCACTGCTCGGCCCTACTGTACAGTATCATGTCCCACCCAAATGTGACTCTTAAACGCCCGTCCTGTGGTATAGCATCGGCTCCCCCTGAAAGTTAGAAAAATAAAGTCATTGATCAAAGTCTGTCAATCGGAGACGACACGTATGTATACGTGTCCACCAGCGCTACAGTACTGTGTCGCTTACTCCCGGTGGTACACACGGAGGTATTCCTTCAAAGTGGTGCGCTGGGTCGCGGCTCCGACATGAAGCTACCACAGAAGTTGCACCTTTGTCGAGAGTACGTGAGGCAGGCACAACAAGTTCCACATAAGCTGGGGAAATTCAATTGGTGCAGTCTGCGATCCAATTTGTGTTTCTTCCTTTTGAAAGGAAGAAACACAAATTGGATCGCAGCTGAAATCAGCTTCTCTTCCGTGTGCGTTTGTTGTCGCCTGCAAGGCGATGCTTTGCAGCAGCCCTCAGCCTGGACAACTGACATTGTGTTGCGTATACTGCGTATTGTGTTGCGTATAGTTGAGTCACAATGAGCAACGTAACCGACCTCTCTACCCGCCGCACCGTACTATTTATCCGATACCTCTGCAGCTAAGGTTACTGCCTGAATAGATCCGGTCATGATGGATCAAACGGGAGTTGTTCGCGAGCTATCATAATCTCCTTCAACGCCGTGTCTATAGTATTGTACTGTATGGATTCCATACAACATGAAGGGACTTCTGTACTGCATACGTGGGATACCAGACACGTCTCGGGCCATCCGCATGTAGAGAACCATAGTCACATCGGCTGCAACGAAAAACGAAATATCGACGTGTTCTATCCAGCGGTCTGGGCATCTGGTCAAGTCTTTTATGAACCCTTTCACATGCGCTCGACATTCCAAGGGTAGTGTCTTGTGGAGACGACCCGACCCGTGATTTGTCTATTTCATCACTAAATAAAGTTTTTTTCAATACCCTATACAGAAACCTGAGGCCTTGGGAGGGAAAGTTTGTTCTCAACTCTTCAACTTTTTTGTCCCGGGCATTAACTTCGCGTGTAACCTCCAAATATCTAGCAGTTTTGAAGACAATGACGGTCCAACAGGTCAGTGACCCAAATTTTAAACTGCCTGGTTGTTTTTTTTATCTATGATCATCGAGCTATTTTATCACAAGTTTTTGGCTGTCAGGATAGTTTCTTCTGTTGAGTACTTTTCTTCATATATGTAGGTCATTTCAAAGTGATTTCAGTACTCGACCATATCACTTCATGTTCTGGGCAGTGTGACCAAGTTCCCTCAATTCAAAAAGTTTATTGCTGTACACGTGCTGTATTTCATTACGTGGCATTTTTTTGCATCCGTTCCATGAGATTACGAAAATCGTGATTTCTGAAAATAATTTTGATCGATATCGACGAATTGGGCTCAAATGAGGCCAAACGCTGTCCACAGTAGTCAGTAGTTTCCGAATCATACCGGATCCTGTCGTCCAGACATCGACAATGGGCAACCGTCCAGCTTGGCGAGGGTCATGGTGCCTTGCCAACTGTAGCAGGGCTATCATTAGGGAGATGGCGCGACTGTCACGAGTTGTCTTCTTGCTGCGCGATCTCCAGCAGGGCTTGCGGTTTTATCGCGACGGCTTAGGGCTGCGCGTCGACGCGCACACCGAGTCGTTTGCGAGGCTTTGTACCAGCAATCATGTGCCGATCGAACTCAACTTGGCGGAGAGGTATGTTGACATCACCTGCACCTGGGAATATAGTATAACTTCCCCATGATCTTTTGCCCGCTTGCAGAAATCATGCTTTGTTGCGCGCTTATTGTCGACGATGACTGACTGACACGTATCGCTTGCGCGTTTTCGCTTCGTAGTGAGGCGCAGCTTTCAACGGGCTACTCCCCTTTTCTTACGTTTGAGGTCGACGATATGGATCAGACCGTACCCAAGTTGATGCAGCTCGGCGCCGCCCTCGACGGCTCCATCAGATATGAGCCCTACGGCAAGATCGCTGCCGTGAGAAGCCCGGATGGGCACATGCTCGGCTTGTTCGAGAAAGCGAATCTGCCCGATGACGGTGCCACAGCGCTTGCGGCTGCTAGTGCTGCGAGGAAGCACATGAAGGACAACCAGACGAGCTGATCAGTCATCAGTGATGACCTACAAATTTGTTTCGAAATACTCTAAACCTTGACGACATGGACAAGTGGCTCAGCTAGACTGTGCAAGTTTTTGGTGGGAACCGAATGAAAACACAAGGAATGGAATTCATAATGTCGCAATCAGTTCTTTAGTTATTGTCATGATAACTCAGCATCTGTACATCGCCCTCGCGGTGGCTTCATCTCTCATCAATTGGTAACCTATCTACAGGATCTACCATTCCATTGTCCGATGACTCTAATCTTTCCCTCCGGTACAGTCGCAAGTAACAACTCCTGGTCGCACTGACACGCTGATGCCACAACCAAGCATTTCACCCGCGACGCGGCAAAATATCCTGGGCTATACAAGCTCGACTCGGCAAGTCTTACATGAAAGCCAAGCGTATATATACAGTCATATATGTCACAAAGTAGTCCAAAATGATAGGAGTACTTGCCAAAGCCTGTTCGCCACTTACTTCGCATGATTTTGCATTCCTTCGTCCAAAACTTCTCTGAAAAACTCCAGCAGTCGATCAAGTTCTACGATCCCATCGCGACCATGCTCCCCAAGAGCGGGGATATTCTCAACGTAACGCTCATGAAGACGAAAGCGCACGAAGTGAGAAGGTCTAGAGTCGCTATCCGCTTCGTACAGCTCAATTGCGAGGTTTGCAGCAAAAGGAGACATGGCGCTCAGACCTCGGAAGAAGTCCGGATCAGATGGCGAGAGCCCGTTCGTGTCAATTCCAAGAAGAAGAAGAAGAGGGACCAGAGTCTCTGCATGGGCAAATCGCAAGTCTGCAGCATAGGCTTGCGTCTCAGTTGGTTGTACACTTGCCGTCAGCGAGTCCATAATGTCCTGGACAAGCGGGGCGGCAGCAGCTCTAAAGCGCTCATGTGCCTTAAAGAAAGGACGGTTGCGTATATCAGCAAGTTCCAGGACGCGTGTATCTCCCGGGGTGAGCAGGCGAAAGAAAGGACTGGTACCAGCCCGGCCGTGTGCTGTCTCAAAAGCACAGACTTCTCCGATGACGCGCACAAGATCCAGTTCCAGTGGGATGGTTGCTCCCAACGTTGTCGATATACGGTTTGCCATCTCTGCCGCGATGTGACGAACAAGACTTTGTGAGAAGTTTTGTCGTTGCTCGGTCTTGTACCGGGTCGCGAATGTGGCGTACTCATTGTGATGATGAGGGTCAAAGTAGCGAAGACTTGCGTCGCGGCCAATGGGAAGCACCTCCACACGGTCATCCCCATCGCTTGAACGGGGTAGTGCGGACGTGGAGGGACAGGAATGAACCGAGGGTGTTGTCGTGCCAGGTTCGGAGTCAGAGTCGGACTCCTGTTCGAATTCATGTGTGTCAGGCAGTGGGATGCCTAGTTGTTGGCAAGCTTGGACGTATCCCATGCGGAAGGCCTTTGCTGATTGAATGGCACGGTTCTTGTACGAAGAGCGGATGCGGAACTTGTTCGTTGTCTCATGCAGTGTCTGGCCGTAGATGTGAGCAAAGCGCATTCCAATGTTGCAGAGCTCGTGTTCGCCGTGAATGGTCAAATCGCCCGGGTTCTGGCTATAGACCTTCAAAGTCTGCTCCCAGCGGTCCAGCCACAACGGCTGCGGGGATGGGAGAGCCGCACGAAGCCAAGAGTAGAGAGAGAGCATCCGCTGCAACGAGGTCTTCGTTGGGTTGCGAGTGCCATGCCTCGCAATGAGCGAGACATGAATGAGACGGGCAGCGGCAGCGGGATGGTCGGAGCGTGGACACGTGACGATGTGCTGAATGAGCCTCGGGGGAAGATAGGGTGTCTTGGTGCCATAGGACCATTCGGCGAGGGTTCTGCGGTTCGGTGGTGTAGCAATAGTGAGACTGTTGGTTTCGCGGAGAGCAGGGGTCGTGAGGACGCGAAGACGATGCAAATGTGGTAGCGTCGAGGCGGGAGAGTCGGCCAGGGGGGCATGGGGTAACACTTGAAGTGGTTGAGGCTGATGCAACATGACGGGGATGGTATTGGTGGTACTTTTAATTATCGGGAGGGAAAGATGAGTGTTGGAGGGTGTCTTCGGAGGTGAGGCGGTGAGTTGGAGTGGAAAGAGTTGTAGGGAGGGAGGACGTATGGATGGGGAGGTGTGAGAGTGGGCGGGGACAGAAGGGAAGGGAAAAGGGGACAACGTCTGATTATGAAGCAATGACAAGATAGAGTGATTATGTGGGGGTTGTCGAGGGCATTGCTGGAGATGGGTTGCGTGTCGTACTGTTTTATAGGAGAGAGAGGATGGGGGTGGGAGTGGGAGTGACGAGACGGCGGAGTTTGTGAAAACGTGCTTGAAATGGAGCGGTGCTGAGGAATATTGCAAGCGGGAGAATTTACTTGTACTGTACCGTTACCGTACGTGTGATGTATGAATGGGGCCCAGGGTCAGTTGGAGAGAGGGGGGAAGAGGAGTGGGAATCAGGGACATAGATAGGTTCAGATGTGGACAGGGAGGAGGGGTAGGTAAAGTAGGGGGGTGGTCAGCGGACAAAATGAGGATGGGAAGGATTAAGCGATGAGGTAGGGGGCGAGGTTTGGTTGCTTGCGAGTCATTCGCGCGATTGCGTTCGGATTTGCTGGATGGGGGGGCGGGGAGGAGGGGGAGGGGGACGCTCCGGTCAAGCAAGCAAGACGAGAAACGAGAGTTGGAGACGCACATTTGGAGTGGTGTACCAAATGTGTGAGATAGGGCATCAGGATGTAGCGTGTGACAAAAAAAAATTATGTGGAGATGGGATGGGTCTATAAAATCTGTGGACCTGTGGGCAGGGCAGACGCTGTGCGGTGTGTTTTTTGATACTACAGTGTGCGAAACGACAATAAATACACCCATCGTCGAAAGGGTTTTCCAGCAACACACGCCGAAAACATAAAAAAGCACACTGTATGATGTCGCAAAACACACGGCGGGACCGATTCCGGGCTCGGATTGGCTCTACCATAAAAGCATGGACCGCAATCTTTAAAAACCTTTGCGAAACGCAAATAAATACGCGAAACGCCATAGAGTACAGTACCAAAAAAGTCTTTATTTTAGTACTTTGTCGCACGCCCTTGTCCATCCAGCACTGCAAGCATACGGCGAGGTATGCTACGATAAAGGCTCTGTAGGAGTTCTCCACTAATTGTCGCCCATACCTCCTCAATGACCTCCTGAAGTTGGTCTACAGTATCGAACTGCAATTGACAAAGATAAACGCGGCACGCCATGATGCCCCAAATGTTCTCTATTATATTGCGATCAGGCGACTTTGCCGGCCAATCTAGTCCTTACACCCTTCTGAGTTAGCCATGAGCGCATATATGTAGACCTATGGATAGAGGCACCATCTTGCTGGTAAACCCAAGTGGCCATTTCGCCATACATCTCCGCTGCGAAGGGAAGTAAAGCTTGGTCGAGGGTTGCACATTACTTGCAATAGTCTTGATTTTCATTTAAAAAGACAAACAAAGACACCTCGTACCGGGAAATACCTGCGCAAACCATGACTGATGCTCCTCCATTTTGTCTTTTTGAAAAAAACCTTTCATCTTTCCGTAGATCATGCAAATAGCATGCGTTGCAGTCAGGGCCGTCGGATTTGAACTATTTTTCGTCACTAAAAATTACCTTGTTCCAAAAATGATCTCCTTTGTCAATAAAGCGACGTTCCCATTTCACTCTATTTTTGCGGTGTAGAGCAGTCATCATGGGTGCGGTTGTCATTTTTTTATACTTCAGGTGTGAAGTTGCGCTTAAAATTTGTTGAATTCTGCGCACTCCTACCGGTAGTCCGAGGTCCTTCTTTAGATCTTGAGTTGAAAAGTTTCCTGAGGATGCCTTTCGGATCATGGCTTTCTCTTGGCGGACGGTGAGCTTTTGACCAGCTACATGCGCACGAGCACGAGAGGTACGACTCGGATTCTTTAAAAAGCGCTGCATGGCTCCTACGGATCTTCCCAACTCCTTAGATATTGTGGGATAACTACCTTCGTCCCGACCACTCGGAGCCAGGGGGGTTAGAGGTAAGGGAGCGCGCGCCGCTGGGTAACCCACGCGAGCGCAAACCGTACGGAAGGACTCGAAAAGAGAAAAGGCTCACGTGGCCGGTGACGCGCAGCCGGTCGGTGGTGTTAGATCCGGACGGCCGGTCACGGGTTAGAAGCCTGAGACTTAGAGGTAAAACCGGACGGAGTTAGCAAAAAGCCGTAAAGGGAAGAGAGGCGAGTCTGCCTCCGTTTACTGGAACGGGGCAGGTGCCCCAGGTCTTAACCCGTAAGTGGGACGCCAGGACACCTGTCCCGCTACAGTAGCTGTTACATACTGTATACCGGCTACTGTACTAAATTGGCTAATTTGTGCCATTAACCACTAATTGCTAATTAGTTACCGGATGGGTCGCACACGTGTGCCCATGGCCACGACCGGCGCCAACGGTTGTGTCACGTGTACGCCGTGGAGGTACTACTGTGCTCGCAGAGGGCGCGTGCACGATTACTACAGTAGTAACCGCCCGTCTCGGCGGTTCTCATCTCCCACCGGGGGTTGCGGTGTGGAATTATACCACAGATATATCCCGTAAGGACATTAGTTGATGGTGCAAGGCCAGGATCTGGCCCTTTTCGATGTCGCTGAGTGGCGGTCCTCTTGGCATTATGAATGCTAACTGCTCTCTCGCAGTGATGTAGAACGATGCTCAGGCCGAGGGCTGCAGAACTATGTCCTTTATTGTTTTCAAAAAAAGAGTACGCGCCAATTGCCGGCACTTTTTGGTACTGTACTCTATGGCATTTCGCGTATTTATTTGCGTTTCGCAAGGGTTTTTAAAGATTGCGGTCCATGCTTTTATTGTAGAGCCAATCCGAGCCCGGAATCGGTCCCGCCGTGTGTTTTGCGATATCATACAGTGTGCTTTTTTATGTTTTCGGCGTGTGTTGCTTGAAAACCTTTTCGACGATGGGTGTATTTATTTGCGTTTCGCACACTGTAGGTTGTAGAATTTGTCGGTTATAGATTATACTAACAAAAAAGGCAGGACAAGATGATAAAAGGTTGTGGTTACATCCAGACGACAGTACGGCACACCACAATAATAAGACATGGCCAATAGGGCATACCCAAGTCGCGACGCAACAAAGTCTCCAACGGCCACCCGCTCCATCGGGGATCGGGGGGTATCGGAGTTCACGGAACCACAGGTTATGGGCACCACGAACCACTGAGCACGATCCGTCCCACCCAAGCCCGCACACAGAAGACGTTAAACATAGCGCACGCATCGCAACAAGATGAACCGAACTGCACAATCGCACAAGACCATTCAGTGACCTCCTCCGATTCGTCACAGCAACAACCCACAATCAGATCACCAGCCAAGACATCTGGAAATGAGCGAGAGAACCAGCATGTCCCAGGGATGCCTCCCACTACTCACCCTCTTCAATTTCTCTTACTGGTATCATGCCCTACAACTCCACGCAAGAACAATCGATGCACAAGGCCATCTCAACCAAAACGATAATCGAAGCGAAACATCAAGCCCAAAGGAAGGCGCAACAAAACTAGCAAGATCAACTCACAAAGGCCATCATGCAAAGCATTAGTGAGAGCGTATTGAGACTGCTACCACAACACGTCCTAAGATATGACCCGCAAAGAATCTGCAGTATACTGAAAGATGTCGTTGAAACCAGCTCCATCGAGAACCACGAACTCTTGCACGCCGAGGCCCGCAACCTCCAGTACCAATCAGGACAAGAGCTCAAGGAATACTTCAACGGACAGAGAGAAGGGCGTTACAGAATGCAGGTCTCTGGATATCAAAACATCGACAGTGAACGCACCACGGTCCGATACCTGATACAAGGGCTGGCGCAACACCCGGACATGCACACACTAGCCATAATGATGGCATGCACACCCCCCGACACCATCCATGAATTCACAAATCACATCCAACAAGCGCAACTGATCCAAACGCAAGCACACACGCACCAGACTCAGCGATCCGCTGCACCACACAAAAAAAATGGGATAAATACCCAGAGAACCGCAGACTGCAAACCACCACCAAACCGAGAACCACACAGAGACACTACGACAGACCACAAGGCCACAAAGGCCCCTGGTGCCACATCCACGGCAGTGTCACGCACAGCACTGACAAATGCTTCGCACGGAGACAGTACACACCACCACGCAAAGCACACGCGAACAGATCCACAGCGTCCAACAACGGCAACCACGAGCAAAGCGCAGAACACAGCAAAGTGAATGAGCTCCGCGAACGCATCCAAATATTGGAAGACGTAATTGCAGAGCAACAGGACACGTTCGACGGAGAGGACACATTCATAATTGACTCCGGTGCACAACCGACGCACACCGCTACACCCCACGCGAGCATGCATCCCAGCACCGGTACACTGACACAGACCGCCACTGGCCAACGCCTACGCATTGTGGTACAATTGCCAAGTGGCGCTACTGTACTACGCGGGCGCCAGAGGCCTCGCCAAGTACAGTAGTAAGATGTTAACCGATACGGTGCATACGTGGCCAGCACGTGTAGATGTGGCCACGTGGGAGTCCACGTGTAGTTAGTGGCACCAGCTAGTGCAGGTGTACACGTGATGCGCGACCGATCGGTGGGTTAGTACAGTAGTCATTTTTAGTTACCGTAAGCTACAGTAAGCTGACTACAGTATGTACAGCTACTGTAGTCCGTCCGGTGCCACCGCCCTACTAGGGGGTATAAGATAGGAGGGCACCGGGCCGGAGGTAAACCGAGGCAAGCACGCCTCCCCTTACTTCCTACCCTAGTCCTTTACCGTACGGTTAAGTAAGTCCCTCAAGTTTCCAGCTCGCCACCAGTCGTACTGCTCTACGCCCCAGTACGACTGCGCGTGTCCAGTGCAGTGTACCTCCCTTGTCCTGTGCTTCCTACCGTTCCGGATTATTCTACCTGACGCTCCAGTGTAGCGGTCCCCCAAGCTCCCTCATTTTAGGTACAGCCTGTCCTTTTCCGTTTACGGTTTAGCGTCCCTACGGCTGTACCACACGCATCACACACTCCGGAAACATTGGAATACAGACGAAGAATAACAAGATCCGTCTACCAGCTGTCCACACACCGGAAACCCAACAAAATCTCCTCTCGGTATACCAACAGGAGATTTTCTTGGTTTTCAGTCAGGTCGTGTACACACGACCTGACTGCACACGGTCATGTCACATTCACAAGAACATACGCACGACTGCATGCACCCACCAAGATACCAACAGCCATACTAACGGCACCCTACTCGAAAGGACAATATAGATTCAAAAGTGAGTCACAGCCAACCACCAAAGGCGCACGTACGTACCCAAGTAAGAAAAGAACGATAAAAGCGAAGACAACTTCCCAAAAAACAAGAACAAAACAACCGGGCACCCACAAAAAGTCATACACACAGCATCCCGTACTCGGGACCCAACAAAAGCAAACCCACACTGCGCACCACAACAGCACCCCAAAACACAGAAACTAAACGGAACGCCACACAAGAACTCATGCACGAGTGGCACCTAAAATTGGGCCATGCCCACCCGAAAACCATATCCATAATGTCCAAAAACGGCCTCTTGCCACCCCTACCGAAAGGGCTAACAGACAACAGCCAACAGATAACTTGCAG